CTGACCAGAGGACCTGTGACTACCCCTTCCCTGGAGGTGCTCTAGGCCAGATTGGACGGGGCTTCGAGCAACCTGGGCCGGGGGGAGGTGTCCCTGCCCAGGGCAGGGGGTTGGGACTGGATGGTCTTTAAGGTCTCTTTCCAACCCAAACAATTCTGATTCCATGGGAATAACCCTCCTCGCACAGCCCGTCAGAGAGGCCGGTTCCCACCCTCTTTACTAACACGCTTACCCACAGCTGAAGCTTAACCAGATACCCCCTGTCAGCATGAAATCCAATTAAAAAGGAAAAAAAGAAAAAGCAAAAGGCAAACAACAGCAAACGTACTTATGTCAATGAAGTCGACATCGTTCCCACTGTACGCATTCTTCAGCTTGTTGGTCATCACCCGCAGAGCCATGATTTGCCGGCGAATCACCATGTCTGGCTTGGTAATATCGACTTCTACCTCTGGGTTATTCACTTGACTTGCTAAGCCGTTTCCAGTCACTGCAAAGTCGTACCTGAAAAGAAACCGTTCCTGCTGGTACCGGAGCTGCAGCTCGGTGGGGCCCCACACCGAACCGCGACAGTGTGGGAACTCGGCGATGCCATCCCCTGGGTGAGATTTTGAGCCCAACATGATCCTTCCCACGTGCCAACCCTCACGGAGCCCTTCTCTGGCTTCTTAGGCCATCTCCCCTCCCTGCAACCCGAGCAGCACGGGGGATTAAACACTGTTTTCATACACCCAGTGCCACAAAGGCAAGGGAAAGACAATTTTCTCCCCAACTTGAGAAGAGAAGGAAGATCTGGGGATTATAATAATCATGGCTTACAACCGCTCGCTGCAGGCAACAGAGCAAAACAAGCTGCTGAGATGCCCCGATGCCCAGTTAGATGACACTTTTGGGAAAACAACCTTTGGGGCCATAGTTATCCCAGAGAAACCTATAGTAACCATTGGAGGCAAGAGTGTCATTGTGGCTTTGCATAATGCACCTTAACCATCAAGCTGGGGTATTAAATGCCTACTTCTCCCCACGCAGACATGAGACGCAATTTCCCTAATAACCCCAAGCAGGAGAAACATCTGTGACGTTGAAGATGAGATAACATAACCCCACGCATGGAAGCGGAGAGGAGCCGAGCTGCTCAGCCCGAGGACTGTGTGCGCACACGTCTGAACACACATACGGCCTCTCGGGTTTAGAAGAGAGACTGAGCAACAAAACGCAACAGAATACATCTCCTAAAATGTAGTAGTACCAGTAGTACCTAAAATTTGGAGCACCATTTTATAGAGCAGGGGTACGATGGTTTTTTCCCCTCCTTCAATTACCTGACTTGCAAGAAAAATCACTGCTTAAGAAGAAAACGTTATTTTTCTTAGTTATGATGCCACCATCAGTATGATGAGAGAGAGAAAAGCCTTTAGGCACAATCTACCGGTCCTGGAGCCCAGGCAGTGAGATGGAAGCATACATCTGAAGGGCACGCTCAACCCCTGTCCTGTATACAGGAGGGTTTATTATTACTATCGTTGGGTTTGTTACTATTTGTGATCAATTTTATATGTTTCAATGAAGTCAGAGAGAGACCAAAGAGAGAAAAACAGCGACAGCAAAGCAAAATATCTTGCACGACCCGCATAGGATGTGCAGCCTCCCCTCTGTCTCCTTGCCCAGTGCTCCCAAGTCTCTGTCTCCCTTCCATACTGGTGCCGGACCTCACACGCTGCGGGAATCTGCCGCGAAAAGCCCTGTAGAAGCTGCTGACAAGACATCAGGAGGGCAGAGCCGTTTCTGGTCGCAGAGACCCAAACCATCGCTCTGGCCAAGCAGGGAAGTTTCAGGCACCCACAAAACAGCTCAAAATTTATGCGGTATGGCTCAGTCCCCTGCCCCAAAAATATCAAGGGCAAAAACTGCTATTACTTAAAAAAACTGCTGGAAAACCCTGGACTACTTTTTTTTTTTTTTTTAAATGGAACATCTTAGATTTTGCTTATTTCCTCAGTAAGCAAACAAGCAAACAGAAAAAAAAACCCCAAACTTATATTTCCAAAATAAAAGTTAAACAGTTACATAAACCATACGACAGAAAACCTTTGGCTTATTCATGTGTTGGTAATTTCTTCCTTACATGAAAAAAAAAAAAAAAAAAAGTTTTGTAACAATTTTTCCATAAAAAACATGGATGAAAAACACCAGCCCCCTTGTGCCACTGAGCAGCAGCGGAGAAGAGGACCTTCCACCAGCCTCCACCTCCCCTGCCTTTGCACAACGAGGAGCCCAGCAATAGGTAGAAACACCAACTGGGGACACTGGGGCAACAGCACTGGCAGACGGCACGAGCATCCCCACCCTGCGGCTGCGGTATGGGATTTTGTAGACATCACCTCCCCAAACCCATGAGCAACCAGTAAGAGGTTTAAGTCCAGGGAGAGATGCCATATCTGGATATCTAGACTCAGTTCCCTTCTACTACATAGAGCTTGGACAACCCTTCAGCTCTACGTTCAAGCTCTCTCATCTACAAAATAGAAGGGGGGTAACGGCAGCAGCGTGTCTCGGGGAAATTGGGGTCTCTCCTGTAGGAGAAGAAGACTCGGCACACTGGGAAAGGCTGGGGCGAGAGGGAGAGGGTTAACTGGGGGCGACAGCACGGCCAAACCTGCTCTTGGCGCTCCCGTTCCAGCACTCGTTCTCATTGACAGTGCCTACAGACATCTTTTCATCGTTGCAAATGTTGCCAGGGAGAGATGACCAAAATTTTTTGGCTTGCTTCAGTTTCTCTTTCACATCAGTAACCTATTAAATAAAAGAAAAAAAAAAAGAAACACAGGACATAATCCAGAATACCAAACGCTCATTAAAAGTGAAGCTGGAAAGGTATTTTTTATCACAACAGACGTGTATAGGCCAGATCTTCAGGCTGCGTGTTTTGATGGTTGATTTACTTTTTTAATACAAAATTAAACACCGCTCCTCAAACACGTATTACTCATAAGCCAAGCCTTTAAAACAGGCACTTTTCTGACATCGCAGCGTTGAGGTAATTCACGTCTAGAGCCATGGGCAGATTACACCCCTCGGAAAGCTTAAAACAGCCAAGGAATATTAAGAAACCCTATAAATTACAAATGGAAAATTATACGCTGCGGTAGAGGGGTGCGGAGCGCCGGCGCGGCACCGGCAGGACCAGGCACTCACCAGTCGGTCCAAGCTCGTGCCGGCGGCTGTAGTCGGCCGCTCCTCCGGGTTGTAGGGTCTGAAACGAGCGCTGAAACCGCTTTCGGAGACGGAGCGAGCGGTCCGGCCCTGGGCAAGCGTTTTTGGCTGGCCGCACCCCTGGAAAACCTACGCGAGAAAAGGAAAGGGTTTTCTGAAATGGGAGGTCACGAGAGCCTCCCTTGTCCAGGCTCCAACCCAGCCCCTGCCCAAAATAAGACATCAGCTCTATATATACTTGAAAGGACATTAAAAAAAACCCCAACATATCAATGAGAACAGGGAAATAAAGCACATTCTATAAATAAATTGTCCTCTTGGCCCATTTACCTTCTGAGACACCTGCATGCTGTTCTCCTGCATGTTCATGATGGCATCCGAAATCTTCACATCAATGGGGTCCATGACTGACTCGATGTTGAAGGGACCCTCCAACCTCTCTGCTACCAGCAGCATCGAATCTAACACGGGGAGAGAAATGAAGGCTTTTAACGGAGGAGCTTCAGGGATAACAGGGAACAAGGGTAACAGATCGAGTGCACAGACATTAACCACCGCAATGTCGCTTCTGACCAGCACACACCTCCAGGAAACATTTTGCTCCATTCCCAGAGCCTACAACTTCACCGGGCACTTACAGGCTGCCAGCACCACGCCATGGGCTCACAGACATCAAAAGCTGCGTTAAACGAGGAAGAGCCATCGCAGCCTGCCAAAAGGCAGCCTGTAATCAGCTCCTCCCATCAGAACACGCATTACTAACACCCTCCTCTCCATGCTCATTTATTAAAGCTTTCCTTGTGTCATTTGTTTTTCAATACTGCTTCCACAGAATCATAGAATGGTTTGGGTTGGAAGGGACCTTGAAGATCACCCAGTTCCAACCCCCCTGCCCTGGGCAGGGCCACCTCCCCCCAGCCCAGGTTGCTCCAAGCCCCGTCCAACCTGGCCTTGAACACCTCCAGGGATGGGGCAGCCACAGCTTCTCGGGGCAACCTGCCCCAGGGGATCACCACCCGCACAGCAAAGAACTTCTTCCTAATATCTCATCTAAATCCACCCTCTTTCAGTGTAAAACCATTCCCCCTCGTCCCGTGGCTCCCCTCCCTGATCCAGAGTCCCTCCCCAGCTCTCCTGGAGCCCCTTTAGGCACTGGAAGGGGCTCTGAGGTCTCCCCTTTTTCGCCTTCTCTTCTCCAGGCTGAACCTCCCCAACTCTCCCAGCCTGTCCTCACAGGAGAGAGGTTCCAGCCACTGGCTTCCTCATGCCGGTCCTGAACACAAGACACCAAGGTGAAAGGGCCCAAGATGACCATCACTACCATCTCTCCCTTAGGGAAAGCGAGAGGCTTTGCCGTGCCTGCGGAAGCCAAGCGATGGCACCTTCTGGCATTGCACGGACGATTTGCACTGCATGAGACCAGGGTCAGCACAGTGCACTAATGATGTATTTGGCAGATCTCTATGCAAGTGGAGATGGAAAAGTCCCTCAGCCAGCACCGGGTCACGTCACTCCTCCTGTGCTGATGTGCACGTACTCATCAAATACAGCATTAAACAGAGCAGCTACCAAACTGCCATTACTTCCTGTGGGAAATTATTATTGGCATTAAGGCTTTCAGCCCTCTCTGGTTCTCCCCTAGAAGATGCCTCCAGATGCACGCCTGGTGCTAAGCACTCGTCTCTTCTCACCACCGCAACCTTTATTTAGCCTTAGTTATCACTGCAGTCCCTCAACCCTGGAGCACCCAGTTTGCCAGTCTCCTCTTCGGCGTCACTTCGTGACGCTCCACCACAAACTCATGATTTTACAGTTGCATTTAATTCTTCAGTTTTTCCTAGCGTGAGGTGGGAGGTCAGGGCGCAACGGCCACTCCAGCCCCAAGGAAACCCTCTCCTGAGGAGCTCTCCCCGCTCCCGAGGATACGCCTGTTCCCTTTCATTAAGGTGAAAGGGGCGTCTCACAGTCTATTAATTTCTCTCGAAAAGTGTTTCTCGTGACATTCATCCTCCTCCTAAGCGCAGAAGGTACTTTCAACAAGCAGAAGACTTCTGTGGGCTCCGGCTGCCTGTTAAAGCCCTATTGAAGATACTCCACATACTGAACAACTCAGTAACAGCTCTGCCTTAGTGCCCAAGTCATGTTAAACTACGCTGGAAAAAAACACAAACTGATGACAAATATATAATTATGCTACTTGTGTATTTAAATTATTAAATATTAATTTATTAAATTACTATTGATGATGATAGTAATAATAATCATCATCATCATCATCATCCAACCCCCAAACCCCCACGTGGACCGCAGATGCCTTCCTAGCCTGTAAACCCACTATGTAAAGACAAGTCAACATTCCAAAGATTTGCTGGCTGTTCGTTAAAGGTCTATCCGTCGATCAACCCATCCCAAAAACCCGCGTCAGCCGGGACTCCCGCACCTCCGTAGGGAGCGAACCCCGGGAGGAGCCAGAGCCCCCAGGAAAGCCCCTCGTCCCACAGGGACACACCACCAGCACCAGTGACGGGGCTGTCGCAGGGCACAGCTAAGGTCTGAAATAAATGCATTAAAAAAAAAAAAAAAAAGAAAAAAAAAAGGAAAAAAAAAAAAAAAAAAAAAAAAAAAAAAAAAAAAAAAAAAAAAAAA